ACTTGTGATTGAGTAGAGAATCTATTCAGATTCTCTATTGCTTCTTGATTCAGTTTTGGGAAGTTGTATGAGTCTAAGAAATTATCCATTTTTTTCTAGGTTATCCAATTTGTGGATATATAGTTTTTCATGATATTCTCTTATAATCCTTTGTATTTCTGTGTTATCCATTGTAATTTCTCCTCTTTCATTTATAATTTCATTTATTGAGACTTCTCTCTTTTCTTCTTGGTGAGTCTGGCTAAGGGTTTGTCAGTTTTGTTTGTCTTCTCAAAGAACCAGACCTTAGTTTCATTGATCCTTTCTATTGTTTTTTTAAGTCTCTATTTCATTTATTTCTGCTCTAATTTTTATTATTTCCTTCCTTCTGCTGATTTTGGGCTTTGTTTTTTCTTCTTTTTCTAGTTCTGTTAGGTCTAGTTTAAGGTTACTTATTTGAGATTTTTCTTGTTTGATGAGGTGGGCCTGTATAATTTCCCTCTTATAACCACTTTTGCTGCATCCCTTAAGAGTTGGTACGTTGTATTTTCATTTTCATTTGTTCCAGGTACTTTTAAATTTCTCCTTTGATTTCTTCATTGATTCAATTGTTGTTCAGTAGCATGTTGTTTAGTCTACACGTGTTTCTGACTTCCCAGTTTTTTTCTTGAAGTTGATTTCTATCATTGTAGTTTCTATCATTATAGTTTCATATCATTGTGGTTGGAAGAGATGCTTGAGATGATTTCAATCTTCTTACACTTATTGAGGCTTGCCTTGTTTCCAAACATATGGTCTATCTTTGAGAATGATCCATATGCACTTGACAAGAATATGTATTTTTCTGTTTTTGGAAGGAACACTCTCTATATATCTATTAAGTCCATCTGATCAAGTGTTTCATTTAAATCCACTGTTTCCTTCTTGACTTTCTGTCTGGATGATTTGTCCATTGATGTAAGTGGGGTGCTGAGGTCCCCTACTATTATTGTTTTGTTGTTTATTTCTCCCTCTAGGTCTGTTAATAGTTGCTTTACGTACTTTGGTGCTCCTGTGTTAGGGGCATGTACATTCATAAGTGTTCTCTCCTCTTAGTGGAATGTCCCTTTTATCATTATATACTGCCCCTCTTTGTCTCTCATTGCCTTTTTAAACTTGAAGTCTGCTCTGTGTAGTATAAGTGTGGCAACACCTGCTTTCTTTTGTTTGCCATTTGCTTGAAGTATCGTCTTGCACCTCTTCTCTCTGAGCCTCTGTTTGTGTGTAGAGCTGAGATGTGTTTCCTGGAGGAAGTATATTGTTGGGTCTTGTTTTTTTAATCCATCCATCTACTCTGTGTCTTTTGGTTCCAGAATTCAATCTATTAACATTTAGAGTGATTATTGATATATGAGGGCTTAATACTACCATTTTACTTCTTGTTTTCTGATTGTTCTATGTTTTCATTGTTTCTCTTTCTTCCTTTGTATTTCTGACTGCCATTTCATTTTCGTGGTTTTCTGTAGAGGTTTTCTCAGTTTTTTCCTTTTTTATGAATTGTGGCTCTGCTCCAATTTTTCATTTTGTGGTCACCATGAGGTTTGTATAAAAAGTCTCATAGATGAGACAATCCACTTTCTCTTAGCCTTTTACCTCTATTAGCCTAAGCAGGTTCCATCCCTAGCCTCTTCCCCTTTTGAGTTATTGTTGTCACAAATTATTCTGTTTTGTGTCATGAGTTCATGACTAAGTTGAAGTGTTTATAGTTACTTTTGATGTTTTCCTTCCCTTTATCTTCTAAGTTATAGTTGACTATTTGCTTCCCTGTTCTGACAGAGAGTTGCAGTTTTCTGATTTTGTCTGTCTGTTTCCTTGCTCAAAGCTTTGTAGACCTTTGTCTTTTTGTTTCCAGTGTGAGGTCATCTTTAATCACTACTTGTAGGGGAAGTCTAATTAAGATGAAGTCCCTCAGCCTTTGTTCATCTGGGAAAGCTTTTATTTCCCCATCATATCTGAAGAAAAGTTTCACTAGATACAGTATTGTCTGAAAGTTTTTGTCTTTCTATATTTTGAATATATCATCCCATTCTTCCTAGCCTGTAAGGTTTTTGCTAAGAAATCTGCTGAAATCTTGATAGGGGTTACCTTGTAGGTCATTTTCTTCTGCCTTGCTGCCCTTAGTATTTCATCTTTTTCATTGACTTTTGCTAGTTTTACTATTATACACCTTGAAGAAGCTTTCTTAGCATTGATGTAAGTAGGCATTCTCTTAGCTTCATATATTTGTAAGTCTGGTTCCTTTCCCATGTTTGGGAAGTTCTCAGCTATTATTTCTTTGAAAAAGCTCTCTGTTCCTTTCTTCCTCCTTTCTCCCTCTGGAACACCTATAATCATTTTACTTCTTTTCCTAATTGAGTCAGATATTTCTCAAAGAATTCCTTCATTTTTTAAAATCTTAGTACTCTCTCTTCCTCCACCAGTAGCATTTCTATATTTCTATCCTCCAGCTCACTAATTCTTTCATCCATAATATCAGCTCTATTTTTTAAGGATTCTAGATTATTTTTTATTTCATTAATTGTGTTCTTCATATCCAGAATTTCTGCTTTTTTTTTTATAGTTTCAATCTCTTTGGTGAAATATTCTTTCTTCTCATTAATTTTATTCCTGAGTTAATTGAACTTTCTGAGTCTTCTTGTAGCTCATTGAGTTTTTTTATGACAGCTATTTTGAATTCTCTGTCATTTGGATTGTTAATTTCTGTGCCTTCAGTGTTGGTTTCTCGAGAATTGTACTTTCCTTCTGGTCTGAATTGTTGATGTGGTTTCTCATGATATTTGCTGAACTAATCTTTTGTCAGTGCATTTGTGATAGTATTAGCTTGCATATTCCACTTGCTACTGCTGGGGGTGGGGAGCAGAAACTGAGTTTCTGATGCCATCCTGTCTGCTGGAAGTTGTGGGAGTTTTGTGGGCGCTTCTGCCAGCTTGGAGAGTGTCTGGGTATATGTACAGACTGTGCTTGGTGGGTGGGGCTTCATCATGGGGTCCAAGCCTGGCCCAATCCTTGAGGCTGCAGCATGGTGGGCTCTCCCACCACCAGGAAAGCAATCATGAGCAGACTAAGGGCTGCTGTCGCCTCTTCTTTCAGTCACCCTGAGGTGTGTTTCCACTTTTGGGATGCGGTGGTTCTATGGGTATTCACATGGGCTGGGAGTGTGCTTGCCTCAACCCGGAGATCTGCTCTTGCCTCTTCTTGTGGTTGCACCAGCCACTGTGCTTGATGGGCGGGGTTTCCTTGTGGGACCTAGCCAGGGTCACTCCTTGGGACTGCAGGGGCACAGCAGGCTCCCCCACGGCCAGGAAAGTGATCACGATTAGGCTCAGGGCAGCCACTGCCTCTTCCTATGTCGCCCCAGGCACATTCCCACTTTTTGGGCACAGCTGTACTATGGGCACTCGTGCCAGGCTGGAATGCATTTGTGTGCATGCACAGGGCTGCTGGGGAAGGGCAGGGAGTGCCCACCTGTCTCCACTACTTCCTGGAGGGCCAGTCAATCCACCTTCAGATGTATAGCTGTGTGGGTCTCTCAGCCAACCTGTTGTGCTGTGTGGATTTCCTCCATTGGTCACTAAATGTCCATTTAGTTGCAGTTCAAATGGGGAAAGATAAAGAGAACAGCTCACTCTGCCATGTGGCTGATATCCATTAGTTAACGTTTTTACTAGCTTCAAAATCTAAACCATAATTCCACTCAGTACTAACAGAAACAAGAAAAAAACAAATATTTAGAAACACAGTAAGGATGATAACAGCCAATGGAATTCACAATGTTCATTGAATACACATAAACTATGTTTTTTTTTTTAGATTGGCACCTGAGGTAACATCTGTTGCCAATCTTTTTTCTTCTTCTTCTTCTCCCCAAACCATCCCTGGTCCATAGTTGTAAATTCTAGTTGTGAGTGCCTCTGATTGTGCTATGTGGGACGCCACCTCAGCATGGCCTGATGAGCAGTGCCATGTCTGCACCCAGGATCCGAACCAGCAAAATCCTGGGCCACTGAAGAGGAACACGTGAACTTAACCACTTGGCCACAGGGCTGGCCTCTACACTATGTAAATTTAAATACTAATTCTGCTAATTCTTTGTTTTCTAATTCATCAGTTTCTTTTTTTAATCTTGATTCATTCCATTCTTATGTTTCCCTTAAGTTTGTTTTGCTGTTCTCTTTTTCTAGTTTCTTGGGTTGAGTGTTTAATTTCTCTATTTCCATTCATTATTATTTAATAATGAAAGAATTAGAAATACAAATTTATATCTAACTTTGGCCATATCTCAAATGTTTGATATGTAGTGTTATTATTGCTATTTTCTAAGTAATCTGTAATTACAGTTTGATTTGCCCTTAGATCTAAGTTACTTGGAGAGTTTTAACATTTTCAGGAAGTTGGATTTTTTGTTCATACTTCTGTTAATAATTTCTACCTCTATTGTTTGTGTATCAGGGAATATTGATGGTAAATTTTCTGTGTGCTTTTGCAATTTATTAATATTTTCTTTGTGCTTACTATGCGATCGATTCTGTAAATAATCCTTTGAGCACATGAAAACGAAAAGTGCAGTATTCTAATTTTCTTTGGTATAGAATTCTACAAATATATTACTACATTACCTCATTAATTAAGTTGTTTATATTCTCTGTATTAAGATTTTTCAAAGCGGTGATCCATGGATGAGCATGAGGAGATCTATGTGTACTTTTTTATAGGGAGAACGTTCACAGTTTTTTCAAGTTCTCAAAAGGATCTGTGATCCCCAAAATATCAAGAAACTGCTCTATATTGTGCTTTATCTATCAAAGACTAAGACAGGGAAATTAAGCTACTAAATATAACAAAATCAACTTAAAAAGTATTCTCAAACAAATAAAAATTATAATTTTATTAATTTACAAGATACCTGAGAAACGGTCATATTGATATTTACTATTTTTCCATCTGTGAATAGTCCTAAGTGACGTTTGCTTATTTTATTCTAGGTCCTGGAATGAGACTCACAAGGAGGCTGGGCTTCTATAGAACAGCAGGAAAGGACCAAGTCACTTTATCAAAATTTAATATCTTTGGAACAAGTTGGTCACATATATTCCATTTTCCCTGTGAGTTTTGCAGTGGGGCTTTTTCAATCTCCTCTGATGAATTCTCCACCTCTTCTCTGAATGCTTCTCCTCAGTTGACGCTCTGAGAAGACAGTCCCATTTTGGAAAGCTAATCATATCCTTAAGGTGACTCAGTTCAAAGTCACATACTTTCTCAAGTGAGGCAGGAAAATGAATGCATCAATTTCTAGGATGGGAATGACAACCATTTAAAAAACAACAGCCAAATTATAGATGTACTTAGCACAGGAAGCATCTGCTGACAAACAAGTCATACATTTTTAAATGATGTACATGAAGACTTTAAAGTCCACCTTAACAGGAAAATTGAAGAATTCTTAAAAGGAACAGTGAGGATTGAAATTATAACCTACACTCTACAAAAGTGCCCATACCTAATCCTCAGAGGTATTAAAACTTTTCAGGGATGTTATGTCCATCAGTTACACAATACTATGTTTCTATGTACGTATGGCCCATGACACTTTCAAGGCCCATGAAAATGTCTTAATTTTAATTTTGTCTAAAAGCAGAAGAAAAAATGACTATATTAATAATAATGGTTACATAATAAAGAATTTAGCCAGGATAATATTTGCCTTTATACCAATAGTCATAAAATATAATGTCTAATTTTTCTTTTTATGGAATAAGGGGCCCATGAAGGCAAAAGTGCCTATATCCCATGAAAGTCATAATGGGTTCCCGGAAATAGTTATCTATTCAATGTAGTCATTGATCAGTATCTAAGTAAATGCTTTGTGAAGGTTGTTTGATGTGTGTTTATGCATGGTTTTGAGACATTATTTAGAATAGATTATATTCTCTTAACAGAATGGAAATTGAGGCTGTGTACCTTCTTCACATCTGTGCTTCTTTCTTCTTGTTTGCTTCACTCTGGCTCTTTCTCTTCATGAGCTTCTTTTACTTGCTTATCTCTTGCACACGGCCCTGTAGTCCCCAGCCCAGCTTGGCATCAAATCTACCACTGATGTTAGGCTTTGTGGATCTGAGTTCAAATTCTCTGCTAGGTCATCCTCTAGTCAGGTGTTCACCATACATCCAATTAGCTGTAGCTAATCCTTCTCCCGTCGTTCTTCCCCCTGCACTCCTGCATGCCACTCAACCTCCATGGTATGTACTGCAGGCCCTTCTGCAAGCTGTGTTGGGGCAGCTAATAAAATATCTCCTACTATATGGTTTTAATATGACTGGATTACACTCAGAGCAGAAAACAATTACAGGAAGAAGGAGCCTAGCAGTAAGTAGTGGTCTTAGTGTAATTACTCTAATTTCTCATGCCCTTGATTGTCATTTTGCCACATATTCAACACATGGGAAACAGAAGGCTTCTCTCTAGGAAATGCCATTTGCAGAGAACTCTGTCCAATCTAGTCATCTCTCAGTGAAGAGCCAAAATGCATAATCAGGCAGGACTCCTGCCTCGAGACTAAGCCATTCTCTGAAGATGAACAGACACCCTGCTAAGTCACTTTTTGCTGGATGAGTGACCTATCTGAGTAAGTATCCACATCACATACACTGCCTGTCACTTCAGGATTGTAATAAGCCTTCTTCATTAACGATTATGTATTAGGAACACCTGAGTAGATGTGACTTTAATAGCAAGTTGAACTTTATTTAATTATCACAGTGTCACACACCTTTCTACCTTTGTAGAATTTTAACACTCAATAAGCACAATATTGTTTCACTATAAAGAAGTATGATTGGTGCATAACAATTACTCAGACATGTACTGTCTATCTCAAATAAGATGGACTCTGAGATACAAAAAACTTGTATCTGTCATATTTTCAATTTCCGTATGTCATTCCTATTTAAATTGAAAAAGAGGAAAGCTTATGGTCTTGATAAGAAGAAAACTTTGAACAAAAAGACTAATCAGTGACAGTTTTTTCTTTTAATATTATCTGACTAATAGGGAAATAGGAAAAATTCTGTTATGGATATTGTATCAGCCAGGGTTAAGTTTTGAACAGAATCTATTCAACAAGTTTAAGAGAAAGGGATTTATTAAAGGGTACTTTATGGTTTATCGCATCATTGAGAGGCAAAGAATTGCCCTCTAGGCTGAACTTCCAAGAACAACTCCCAAAACCAAACTGTGGATCAGGGTCAAGGGAGCAGTTACCTCTGCAATGGTCAAGAGGCTGCAGATTCAGGAAGCTGATATCCCAGCCGTCTGTTCCTGGACACACTACCTCTCTGCCAATGCCTCTCTGCCACTGTCCACACCGGTCAAATGGTGTGACATCTTGTCTCTCTTCCCATATGGCTTAGAGTTCTAAATCAAAGTCTCATTTGATTACACTTGATTTGTGAAGCTGTAGCTGCATGGAAGTCTGAGAAGTGCAGTTTTTAGCTTTTCAGTTTCTGCATGCTAACAGGGGGCCAAAACAGGTGTTCGATGAGCCAATTTAGAGTACTACCATGGGTATGTAAGTGAGTAATACTGAAAACTCAAGTAACATTGAAGGAGCAAATCGGATATGGTCATCTTCTGGATTTATTTTTTTCCCTTTCAGGACTGGAATTGTATTAATCATAATATTTGGTTCATGATACACTCATGTCAGTAATCTATGTATGGACCCCAAATTACTTAATAATGTAATGAACACAAGGGACCGACCTACCACCAAAATAAAAACTAGGTCCATAAGAATAACCTACATCTAATCAAACATCCTCCAATATTCTCATAGTTTAGGAAACCATCACCCTGAATTTCCTGTTTTATTGCACCTAAATGTATTACAAAATATCTTTTTTTATTTTAGTAGTTTCAATACTCTTATAAAAATGGGATCATATTCTACGTAATCTTTCAGGTCTTATTTTTTTCATTGAATGTTCTATTGCTAGATTCATCCATATTTTTTCATTTCACTGTAGTTCATTTCAACTGCTGTATTCTGTTGTTGAATATGACAGTATTCCATTGTATTAATATTCATCAGTTTTTCTCTTAATGGATATATGCACTGCTTCAGAGTATTTTTACTGTGAGCAGTGATGCGGTAAACATTCTTTCATAAATACAAGAGTTTCTTTGGGGTATTTACCAAAGATGGAATTACTGGGTTATGGGCATTTTTTAGCTTGGATGGAGTTCTATATATTGAAAGTCATTAAAAATATGTAGTTTTCAGCCAAGTCTGGTTTAAAAGTGGTAAACTAACATAATCATCAAAGAATATAAATATAGGACTTAGGGTAATTTCCCAAAAAGCTTATATTCCATTTGGATAAACAATTAAAATTTAATCTTTGTCATTTTTGTACCTACTCCTCTTCTGAAATACTTCTTACGCCAGGGACCCAACACATCATTCCCACTCTCAGTTAAGAGTGGCCAGCTGACAGAAGTTCCTTGATATTCCAACAATCGTCCTTCTTGGACAACAACCTTAGGACCATGATCTCTATCTCTCACATTTCTCCAAAACCTCTTCCTGTTCGCACTACATTCCCTTAGCCATTGAAGCACAAAGTGATTCTACCACGATGTAGAGAAATCTCAGGGTTCCAACGACGTTAGTAGGAAATTGATAAGGACAGAGTGTGCATTAAATCCAGTTTGATTTAGTGTAACATAATCATCAGACTGTGATCTGACTTTTGATTTACATCAGGCTGCCTAAGCTATAGAGAGAACCCTTAAATTTCATATCTGTCATAGGGTCATTTCCCTTGGAAAGAGACTCTAAGATAAAGATTTATGTACATGTGTTTTAATGGTTACATTAAATACATTACAACAGCCGTCAAGGAGTGAGGAAAGCAGGATTGAACAAAACGAGAAGTTGAACTGCAATACAGTTATACAGAGGCCACAGTTAATTACCTGGAAAGCTCTGAAGCTGAGATGACCTTTCAGAGAATTGAGCAAGAGGCCAAGACCATTGTACCCCATGTAGACCAGTTATAGGATACAGGCTGCCCCCAGGAAGAGGGCATACTCTTGAGTGAGACAGTTTCCTTTGACCAAACGTGATTCCTGAGGAGGGCCTCCTGGCAGCTGGGAGGATGAGTGTTCAGTCCCGAAGGGGGGATCTGGGTAGCATATGATAGCATCCATGTAAGTCTATCTCTTGTGCTGTATGAATCCATTTGCTTCACATAAATTCCTCCCATCTTGGAACAGCAACTTGAAGATTCTTGTTGATCGATTTTCTTGGGATAATTCACAAGAGGAAAGCAGTGGGCTAAACTATAAGCTCTGCAGCTACAAATGGTCAAAAGGCTGCAAGTGATACTCCCTCCTCTACTGCCAATCCTAAATTCCCCACACCCCAGTTAGCACCTCTGTTGGTCTAGGTGATTGACTTGGTGGGGTGATTCAGACTTTCATCCCTGTGGGGTCTGAGCCCCCAGTCAACCTGCAATTCTTAGGCCATGTCTACTTTTAACATCAGACAAGAAAATAACAACGGACACTGCAGTGGTTCACCTGGGCGCTAAATATATTCTTTCCTGCTCCTGTTGTGTAAGAACAGCCTTCTATCCTCCTGATGATAAGGGTCAATTACCCCTGGCAGCTTGATGACTACTTTTCTTGCCTATTAGACTAGGCAAAAGACCGGAAATATTGGATGACAGCTATAGCTTAAAGTTCAATGACACTCTTAGTTGTCCCCTGGTAGAAGCATTCTACATTTGGGGATCAGAACTTCTAGACATGCAGAGCCTACAGTTGTGGAGATAAAAGCATCAATTACCCAAGTGGGTCACTGGGGGTGATGATAAGTGGGGCCACTTCTATTTCAACTCCTTAGTTCCTGGACCCATGTAGTCTACATATTGGGGACACAGTACCTTATAATGATCATTGGTTTAGGGTATATATTGGACCCTAAAGGATGTGTCCCATACTCATAAAGCATCATCTTCAGTCTAGTACCTTAACTGTGCCTTCAAAGAGCTTCCATTGCTATATCAGACCAACATCTTCTGGGTGGTGCAATATGAAATAGGATCAATAAATTGATTCCATGGTATGGGCCCGTTTGCTGTAAAGCAATTCTCTTGGTCAAATGCAATGTTATGTGGGACCTCATATCCACAGATCAGTTGCTCTGCAAAACTTCACATAGTAGTGCTGGCTAAAGCCATGCAGGCAGAAAAGGCAAACCCTTACCCAGAATATATGTCAATTCTAGTCAAGATGAAGTGCCAAGGTCGAAGCGGTTCCAGGTAATCATTTTGCCATCGAATGGCTGGTTAGTCTCTTCTAGGAATGGTACCATGCTGAAAGCTCAGTCCTAGTCTCTGTTAGAGACTGGCAGGTTAGACATTTCACAGCAACAGTAGCTGTATTAGCTTTGGAGAGTGGGAGCCCATGCTATGGGGTCCATGCATCGCCTTTATCCTTGAAATCATGGGTCCTCTTGTCATGCATCCATTGTGCCAGCCCTGGGCTAGCCAAGCCATTCTGTCTACTTGGTGGTTTAGTACCTCTTCCATGGTGGACGCTCTCTAGTGTGAATTAACACGTCATACAAAGATCTTCACACTTTGTGTCCACTCCCTAAGGTCCATATACTTGTCTCTTTCCCAGTTCTTCTGGGCTATGACCTTCTGATCTCTCTCCTTCTAAGCCCCTCAGCAACCAATTGAGACATTTGCCATAGGCCATAAGTTTGTATACACACACACGCGCACATAAATATTTAATCTCAGGACAGGACACTTCTCTTTCTACACAGTGTATGACGTGGTACACTTCCTGAAACTTTGTTCTTTGGGAGTATTTCCTTCACTGCTGTCTTTTAGGGATATTCTTGATTGGGGCTGCTGTGTAGTAACAGTCTAATTTCAGCTTCACCCACATATTGAGCTGGCTCACCAATGAACCAAGCTCATCCTGTTTCCTTTTTCATCAGTAGGTCATAATAGATGCCCCTTAGCATGAGCTAAGGGAGAGGCACCAGTGTAATGGTATGGATGACGTGGGAGTCTAAATGACCTGATCAGCTTACTTGTGCCCTTTGTCTCTGCTTATGCTGGTCCTAGATCTACCACTTCCATCTTTTGGAGAACTGCTTCTGGAACTGCCAGACTTCATGACTTGGCAAGTCTGACAGAATCCTGCTCGTGATGGATATTTCTGGTCACATCATCACCTGTATCCTATGGTCGGGCTCTATCATGGCTCTTTTTTTAAATAATATATAGTTATCTGCTGTGGTTGGCGTGACTTGCTCCAGAACCCTAGTGCTCTGTGTTCTGATTTTCCTGCTGAGGCTTGTCATAAGCTTCACATGGCCTCCCAGGCACCACGGATACACCTAATACTCCAAGGTTTGTCATATTGTTTGGCTTAAGTTGTAGGGCTGCTTGTTCTACAAGCTGAACTGCTGCAAAGCTTACTCCTCCTCTGGTCCCCACTCAAAGCTGACAGTCTTCCACGTCAACTGGTAAATAGGTTAGAGTAATATTGACAAATGTGGAAAGAGGTTGCCTTCAAATATGAGGAGGCCTTCCAGATGTTGTGTTTTTTTCTTAATGGTGGGAGGAACAAGTTGTAATAATTTGTCCTTTACTTTGGAAGGGTCCCAGCACAGCCCACACCACTGGACTCCTAAAAACTTTACTGATATCAGTCCTTGAGTCTTTGAAGACTACTCCGTGGTTCACATATATCTTTTCATGTCTTTCAGTTTCTGACGTGTGTATCACTACTTGCTTGGCTGGGTTAATCAACACAATATCA